GGCGCCGCGAGGCGGGCCCGGGCCGCAGCTGAGAGACCCGAGGGAGAGAGTCACGTCCTTGGGGAGCCTGTCATCCAAGCTGTCCAGGAGCCGCGCCAGGGCCGCACAGTCGGGGGGCAACGTGCGCCCGGCCAGTCCCGGGCCCCACGGCTCCCTGCGCCCCGCTGTGCGCAGCCTGGTTAACTGTCCAGAAACGGAGGACGCGGGTCCAGTTTTGGGGAGCAGCTCTCAGGAGGAAAACATCTTCACCCGTGGCCCTCCCAAGGGGCCGCCCCCTGTCGGGTGGGCAGCGGACAGCGCGCTCTTGGAAGCTGACGGCCAGCAGGCCCCCCAGGAGTGCGTGGACTCAGCCCTCACCCCTGGCTTCTCAGAGGGCGCTCCCGAGGGACTGCCACTGGCTGTCCCTCCTGGGGACACACCAGGAGACAGACCCACGCAGCAAGCAAGCATCAGGGCAGTGGGGGCTGCCGTGCCGAGCCGAGAGCTGCATGGTCGTGAGGCCGTAGCCGTCACTCTGGCTGCTGGAGCCAGAACGCCGGGCTCCGACTCAGAGGCGGAATGTCACAGTGCTGCTCAGGGTGCTTCCAGCTGCAGGGACACCCAAGAGCTTCCTCCGGAGGGGGACAGTGGCCTGAAGAATGGAGGCCCTTGCAGCATCCCCCTGGGGCCAGGGTCAGACCGCCATGCCCCCGACACAGCCAGCGCCGGGTCACCCAGCACCCCGTACTACCTCCGGGGCTTCCTTATGGTGCTGAGGGCTGTGCTTGGGGACGAGGACGACCGGGCACTCTTCAACGAGCAGGAGCTGGGCATCACGGCCGCGTTCCAGCGGTTATCAGGTAGCGGCTGCACTGTTTGGAAGCCTGTCCTGGGCGTGCCGTGCTGCGAGCTAATGACCACAGGAGTCCCCGCGGCCATGGGGCTCCTGGGGAGCACACGGCACCAGGCCTGCGCGGACGGCCTGAGGGGACAGGGCTCCGTGCTTCCTTGGCAGTGGGAGCTTGAGGGGACTTCAGAAAGTTAGTGGAAGCTGAAATTTAACTGTGAGTCCACTTGGTGCAAAATGTTGAAATCCATGCATAGCTTTTCAGTATACATTTTCCAGAATGAACTTTTTGGAGACCCCTCACGTTTGATGTTATAAGATAGCTTTTTAAAAACGTGCCACAGGGCCTGGGCACTCACTCACCAGAGAGACAGAGGGAGAGAGCACCCCTGTGGGGAACGGGCCGCGGTCCCTTCTCCATGTCTCCGTCCTTTCGGGGTGTGGGCATGTGTCATACATGCCTGGCGTGTTTTTCTAGCCACTGAGGCCAGGGTTCGATTCGTGCAATTGGCCACGTGTGCGCCAGCTCCCTGCTGTTTTTAGAACAAAGACAGCATTACTCACCGTTTTCCTCTCTGCAGCTAACGGTCAGAAGTTGTATGTGAGGCTCTTTCAGCGTAAGCCGAGCTGGATCAGGGTGGGGAAGCTGGAGTACGACGAGATCGCCCCTGACCTGACGGCCGTGGTCGAGGAGCTGACGCACGCAGGCTTCCTGCAGACAGGTGAGACGTGCTCGCGGCCCACACGGGACCGTGGGCAGGCAGCCCGTGCCAGGACGCCTGCTGCCGCTGCCTGGTCCGTGCCGGGGAGTGGTGATCGGTGGTGACTTTCCAGACAACACAGTATCGGGGGACGCAAGGCCGTTTTTAGAAAGGCTGTTTATTTCTTGAGAGAGTGAGAGAAGCAGGCCTCCTAGACAGGGTCCTCGCACTGTGGTCCCTCCTGGCTCAGCTCGGAGGGTGCATAGGCCCTTGTGCTCAGCGAGTCCTGGCCTACCACAGGCCCCTCCCTGTGGGTCCAGCCGTGTTCCCAAGGTGCCACCTCCTGGCCCCACGGAGTCGACCCTTAGCCACCACGCCACCTGCTGGCCCCAGAAGCACCAAATTCTTTAATAATTGGTTTGGCAGGACCAGCAGGGGGCATAAGGGTTATGTCATTGGACTCCCATTTAGCTGACTGCACTTTAAGTCCCAGACCCAGCGGCTTAAAACTCACGACGGGCACGTGTGCACGTGCGCCTAAGATCCCAAGAGGAGAAAGCGGAGAAGGGACTGCAGCATGGCCAGCCCTGTGGGGGGTGATTTCTCGCTTTCTGTCTGTCTCTGGCAAGCTTATCCCCCTATAGCAAAAATCTCTGTTAAAAAAAGAAAATAAGTAAAATAATTAGTTTGGCAAACTAAAATTTCCACAGTAGAATTTTCTTTCATTTGCATCTTAACTAAGTTTCCTTCTTCCGAAGGTAAAGATGGTAGAGAACGTAAGAAAAGAACTTTTACCTATTTGACCTCCCAACCATTTCAGAATCCGAGCTGCAAGAGCTCTCAGAAGCACTTGGACTCCTTTCTGCTCCTGAACTGAGGGCCCTGGCCAAGACCTTCCACCTGGGGAGCCCCGGCGGGCAGAGACAGCAGCTGGTGGACGCCCTCCTCAAGCTGGCCAGGCAGCGTGCCGTCTGCACGTGGGCCCGGGGTGCGGCTGGAGTCCGTGCTGCCATCCTGAAAAGGTGTCGCTGGCCGTGCAGACGCGGGGACTGCGTGTGCGTGAGGGTCTGGGCAGGCTGCCCGCTCGTGCTGCCGCGGTCGCTCTCTGCCGCTGCGCCGGACCGAGGGTGCTGGGAGAGCCTGAGTCACCGTAGCCGGGCCCCTTCCTTGGCTCTTCACCCAACGGAAGCCTGGCGCGCATCGGAGAAGGGCGGCCGGGAAAGCTGGAGGCCGCAGCCTGACGCCGGTGGTTCATTGCCAGGAAAGTAGGCAGGGCTCAGGGCCACTCCGGCCACACTGCGTCGTAGGGATCCTCGTGCTACGTGGAACCACCCAGTCTGAACAGCAACTGTGCTGGCTCTCAACGTGGCAGTCCACGAAGCCTTCCCGCTTGGCTCCGCTTGTACTGGGAAGCCCTTGAGCCGGCAGGGGAGATTGTGAAGACTGCTGTGTCGCTGGGAAGTCATGATGCATTTTTTCACATAAAAACAGACGTGTGTCATGACTTTCCCGACAACATAAATCAAATGATCAGCTTCAGTCCGGGAATCTGCTTTTCGGGATTAATGTGTGGTGAAGTGAGATGATGCTTTTGAAAACACCTCACACCAATGTCACTATTTATTTTGTATATTATATTTACATATACAGGGACGTGTCTTCAGACATTCATGGAAAGTGTGTATTGTGAAAAAAATGATTTTGAAAATCCTTTTCCACCCAAATACACTTGCACGCGAATTCCCTTCTTCTCACAGGCTTTCGGAGCTATCTTGACCGTGTGTGAAGGCCACTCTCAGGGCTCCAGTGCCAAAGGCCCACCCTCGCTGGGGAGACCGCGGTGAATCCTGGTCCCTAATAAACATGGGACCCATGTGGCCGACCGCAGTTCAAACCATCGTCTGAACGGTCTTCTCTGCTGTGCACTTTTCAGAGCTAAAGACCTGGCTGGACCATCGCTGCGCGTCTGCCCAGGCCCCAGGGCGGTGTTTGCCCGACTCCTGCTGCTGTTCTCGCCGACTGACTTGGCGGAGGACGACGAGGCAGCCTCCACTGGCCAGGCGCAGCTGTCTACCGTGTTGCTGGTCAGCCTTGGCCGCGTGAAGTTCCCTGACTACACTGTCAACCGGAAAACTCGCATCTTCCACGACCGACAAGACCTGATCAGGTAAGGCCTTGCTAGCGTGCTAGAATTCTGTGCGCACGTTAGACGTTGGTGGAGGGGCCGGCAGGTAGTGTGGTCGATGAGGTGCGCCCGGGCAGCCCTCACGCAGGGCTCAGCTGCCCGGCGCTGTCATTACCTGGGTGCTGCCTGTCCCCTCCGAGCGAGGCTTGAGAGAAGACAGGACAGCCGCCTCACAGCAGCACTCAGCGCTGTGCACCGGGAGTCTGGGCCTGGCGGCTCGAAGGACACCTGGCTACACAGCTGTGTGCGCCTGACGGGCTGGAGGGGACACCTGGAGGGGACGGGCCACCCCAGGGAGTGCTTCCTCTCTGGCAGCTCATGTGCCTTCTCACGATAAAAAAAATGGATTTCCTAAAACTCTCACGTTTTTTAAGAAAAATTCACTTAGATTTCCCAAGTTGTCACTTTTGATTCTTGATTTAAGATTAGTAACTCAGATCATTTTCTTGTTTTGGTTTTTTTTTTGCCACAGAGTGTGTGTGTGCTCATTGGAGAGAGACAGAGAAAGGGGAACTGAGAAATCACCCCCAGCGGGGATGGCCATGCCACAATCCTGTCTCCATTCTCCTCTGGGGTTTTGAGCACGCATATACACGCACGTGGCGTGATCCTCAAGCCGCGGGGTCCAGGCCTGAACTATGGTTGGCTGTGTGGGGTGCAGTTCCTTAGCCATCAAGCCTTCTGCTGGCCCTTGTGACTCAAGTTTGGCCCAAGTTGCTCCTGGTGTTTGCGTTTAGCAAAGTCCTCCCGTTCCTGGGAAAGCCGTGTGCCTGGAAGCCCCGCAGCTGCAGTGTGGGCACGGCTGGGGCCTGGCTCACTCGCCTCCGCCCTCGGGGAGCTCGCCGCCGGCTCAGCTCCGGCCACCTTTCAGTCCAGTCTTCTGACGTGGCTTCCCGCCTGCCCCGTTCTCAGCCTCTGGTGTCTTTGGCCCGTTTTCCGGTTCTGTCCGTAGAGGCTCGTCCTTCGTGTGCTGCAAGATTGTGTGCCCGAGGCGTGGCCCCGGCCCACCACGCTGAGTCCTGGGGGAGCCCCGTCCCGTGCTCCCGCGCAGCAGGCAGGGCAGCCCTCCCCAGGCTCCTAGCGCTGGGCCACCAGGGCGCCGGGCTGTGCCGTTATTGTCGCTGCTGCTGTCGGTTCGGGCGTTAAAAAGCCCGTGGGAAAAGGGGATTCAAGTGTAAGTTTTAGTCACCGTTTTGAAACCCATTCATAGTTTTTGTAATGCACATTACCCGTGAACCTAAGATGGGTACTTTTCAGCTCTGTGATTGACAAAACCATGGCTGACAAGTTCAAAACTGGGGGACGAGGGAGAAAACAGAAGCCACCCCACACCCTTTAGCCGCCTTCATGCAGAGGGCCTTGACGGCAGGGGACACTGGCTCTGAGTGACTTGGGACGTGACCGCATAACACCTGTGGCCTGAGGCCCCACCTCCCCGAGGTGTTTTCCTCTCTCAGTCACTCAGTGCGCGTGACAGAGGACCAAGGGGGACATGGCGATGGACAAGGGAGGTCCTGCCATCATTGGCCACACCCCAGGGGACAGGTACACGGCGAGCACAGCACGTGGGGGTGTCAGCATCAGGAGCCCGGCATCTGCCGTGCAGACAGAGGCCGAGGGAGGCCAGCCTGGAGGTGGCCCTGGAGCGGGCCATGCCAGGCGTGTCCCTGTCCACACAGGTTCCCCATGGGCCTGGCTCGGGAAGGTGGAACGGCAAGAACGGGGGCTCCAGGCTCAGGTTGCGGCCGGGCAGAGCACGGCTGTCTCAGAAAGACAGAGTGAGCCGCACAGTGTCTGCGCTGGCCCTGAAAAGAGCGTGATGGCTCGTCAGCACCGTGTGCGGGGTCAACATGGGGGTGGCCTCGCTGTCCCCGCCCAGAGCAGGGGACTCCTGTTACCTGGTCAGCCCCTCCCAGGCCTCAGGGACACGAGAAGCCAGAGTCTGGGTGTGGACCAGGAGTCAGTGGAGCGAGGGGCGTCACTGGCCTGGGTCTGATCGTGGAGGTGGCCTGGAAGTGGAGCCCCAACCTGTGCCGAGCCAGCTCCAGGCAGGGCTGGGTGTGGCCGCCCCCACCTTGACTGGAGGCGTGAGGCTGTGAGACCGCTTCCCTGGGCCCGCACCGCCGGGCTCACCAGCGAGCGTGCTGCCAGCCTGCGTCCTGCACGCTCTGGGGGGCGCGTTTGCGGTCACCGGGATCAAACCAGAACGGCCTCATGGTCTCAAACCTCACCTCCCCACGTGTCCGCCCAGGTACGCGGCAGCAGTGCACACGCTGAGGGGCCTCTCTGCCGCCATGGCCAGTGGGAGCTGGGAAGAAGCCAAGGCGCTGGCGGAGAGTGCGAAGCGGGCCTGGGACGGACTGAGAGGCCATCCCTCCCTGAGGTCAGGCCTGGGCGTGTGCGGACATGTACTGGCCCGCGTCCCACCACCCGTGGGGTTTCAGGAGGGAGGGTCCAGCCGTGAGGGCCGAGGGCGGCGGGCTGCAGGCTGGGTCTGTGGGCCACTGGCCTGCCCCTGCGGTGAGGACGGGCTGGACGTGCACACGTGGTGTTCGAGCCTCGCACACTCCTACACTCTGCCGGCGTGCTCTGATTTAGCCGAGGAAGGGTGTGGCCGTTCTGCACCCGTATGGCTCGGCACGGCAGGTGGTGAGCCCGGGGCCGGTGTGGGCAGAGGGGCCGTGTGGTGGGGAGTGCTCAGCTCACACCTGCACGTCACACGGCCCGGGTGCTGGCTGCGGGGTGGAGGTCTGTGGGGCGGGAGAGCGTACACCGAGGGCCCTAGGGGCACGTCGGCCATGCCCTGGGCCTGGCCTGTGCTGGCCCTTCCTGTCGTCTGACACAGAAGCCGTCCCTCCTCGTCCAGGTACCACGAGGGGCTGCCCCTATTCCTGCGGTGTTTCACCGTTGGCTGGGTTTACACGAGGATCGCGTCCCGGGCTGTGGAGACCCTGCAGAGACTTCACATGTATGAGGTAGGACGCCAGCCCTGCCCTAACGGGGATGGCAGCATGTGTCTGGAGCATGCCCCAGGGCTTTGGAGCACGGGCAGCGGGCACAGACATGAGCATCTGCTCAGGGGCTGCCCAGTCAGCGTGTCCTTGGCTGCCTAGGTCGCGGCCTGAGCCCGGTGGGAACCCTGGACATGCCTGCGGGCCGAGCCCAGGGTCTCAGAGTCAGGCGTGACCAGGAGGGTCTCCTGGAAGCCCACTCTGGCATCCACGCGGGCTGTTCCGCGCTGCTCATGAGTGCACGTCAGATCGGCCCGGCCCGGCTGTGTCCCACACACTGTGAAGTCACTGTGGCCACATGGGTTGGGCTTCATCTCCACCGCACCATGGCCCTGGACCAAGAGGAGGTGTCAAGGTGTCCTAGAGCCCCACGAGGGCCCGCGGGGTCCCAGGGGTCGGCCACACAGGAGTCGACATGGGCCCCTCCTTGTCACGCTGCTCCCCAGGGCTGCGTGGGCTGTGACCTGCTGGGCTCCCGTACACACACGTGCCCAGCCTCAGCTCCTGGGCTTGGTCCTGTGCTGGGGCGTGGTGCGCAGGACACGCGACACACGCCTGGCCCAGGAGAGCGCTGCACCGCTTTAGGCAGGGCTGGGGAGAAGCAGGGCTCTGTGGGACCCACCCAGCCTGGGGCCTCCTCTGCATGGAGAGGCTTGCCATGGCTGTCTTCTGAGTGTCCCAGTGGGGTGTTGGTGACCTGACGGCATCTGTCATCCTGCACAGGAAGCTGTCGGAGAACTGGAGAGCCTCCTGGCTCAGAAGGTCTACTGTCCAGACAGCAGAGGCCGCTGGTGGGACCGCCTGGCCCTGAACCTGCACCAGCACCTGCGGCGCCTGGAACCGGTAGGACAGCGACGGCCCGAAGCCTCCCTGTATGGAAGTGGGTGTGAAAACATGGCCACCCCGTGGCCTGGTGGTCAGGAAGCCGGGTCTCACATGGTAGACTGCAGGGGTTTCTTTAGAATTATTTTCTTGAACTTTATTAAGTTATTTATTTATTTTTTTTAATTTGACCAGAGAGGGAGGGAGGGAGAGCAAGCCACCAGGTCTGGGACTTGAACCATGGTCGGCCATGTGAGAGGCCAGCCCCAGGCAGACTGCAGTTTGACTCCCAGCCTGGTTAGAAAGTACAGGCGCGTAAACACGCGTGCCCAGACTCCTGGTAGGACAAGAAGGCACTGTAGTGTGACTGTCCCACGGGTGCTGTCCCCCTACGTCTCTGTCTCTGTCTCTGGAGAGTACATGTGCCCTCTGGCAAAGACCAAAGGAAAAAGGCGGCCGGCTCCAGTAGCTCCCAGACCTGCTGTGGGGGGCGGGGATGCTGTTCCCTTCTTCCAGAAGGAACACGCAGGGCCTTTGAAAGGCTCCTGGAAGCCCAGCAGGGAACAACTGGTGGATTTCAAACTTTGTACCCAAACCGCATGCCCGGCAGCCCCGCTGCCCCGGGAGTCTAGAAGCTTCCTCGTGTGCGTCTGGGTGTAGGGCAGGACTTAGGGTCTAGGAGGGACAGGGCAGTCACCCGCTCGTTTTTGCTTTGGAAAAGGTGATTTTTGTCACCCTGGGATCGAGGTAGGAAGGGGAAGACGTGGCCCCTTCCTCGTCCTCCGTGGGGACCCGTGGGGGCCTGTGTCTGCTCTCGGACCTTCTGCCAGGGCCCTGCGCGGGAGGAGGCTGCTGTGGCGGGACGTGGCTATCTGTGGGCCGCCTCACCCCCCCCACCCCCGTCTGTCTGTCTCCGCCCATGTCTGTGGTTCACTGTTCCCTGGTCGTGCACTGCCGGGTGGGCTGCCAGGACCCGGCTGAAGTCCCACCTGAGGCAGGCGCTCCCCGGAGGCCGGTGCGGAGTGAGCAGCTGCGCCGCTTGGCTCCTTGTGGTGCAGCCCGTCCAGGCGGGGTGGCTCTGCCCGGCCCCACTGCGATGGCAGAGCAGGAGGCTCGTGTGGCACTCAGGGTTGCGTTTGTTTGCCCTCCTGTGTGTGACCCCAGGCAAGGCGTTAAGCCCTCCAGGGACCACTGCCCCGTAACGGGGACCCTGACCCAACTTCCCTGCACCCCGAGAGGCAGGAGCTCTGGCAGTGCCTGTGCTGCATAGATCCTCCTGGGTTGGGTGGGACACACGTACCCTTTCAGAGCTGTGCGGGTGGGTCCCAGGAACCACGGGGCCGGGCTTCCCTTGGGGGTCTCCCCCAACCCCACGCACAGGGGTCCCAGGGCTCCTTCTGGTCCCATTTCCACGTGGCCGCCAGGCAGGGTGGCAGTCCAGCTGGCCCACGCCCTGGGTGGCCGAGTGCCCGTTACAGTGGGACCCTGCCCACCAGGCCGTCAGGAGCATCTGCGAGGGCCTGGCAGACCCAGCGGTCCGGACAGGGCACCGGCTGGCGCTGCAGCAGAGAGCCCTGCGCCTGCGCGAGTCTCCGGGTGGACACCGGCTCGCGGCACTCCTCCGCCAGCTTCCAGAAGTGGCCGTGCGCGACGTCCGGCATGTGAGTGGGCTTTCCCTCCCGCCGTGGCCCCCTGAGCCTCATCACGAGCTCTGGGTGGGAGCATCCCGGTGTCACCCACGGCCCAGCGACAGCAGATGTGGCTGTGGCCTGTGGCCTCCTGGGATTGCCAGGCCTGGGGGTGCAGGGTCCATCCCCAGGACATGCCAGGTGGGTTTTTGGGGACCTTGGCCAATGTAAGGCTCAGCCCTTGCCCGTGCCCTCAGGTGACCATCACGGGCAGGCTGTGTCCACAGCAGGGGACGGGGACGGGCAAGTCCGTGTTCATGATGGAGGCCGGGGAGCCCACCGCCCGCGCCACCATCCTGTGCTCCGTGGAGGAGCTGGCGCTGGCCCACTACAGACGCAGCGGCTTCGACCAGGGTGAGCGGAGCCCTGCCCTTTGCCCCCTGCCCGTGTCTCCATCCCTACTCTGCCAGGGGTGGCCTCCTCCCCAGCCAGCCCATGAGGGTCGCCCCTCTGTGGAGGGAACTGAGGCGGCCGAGCGGAAGGCCAGGCCTAGGAGGGCCGCTGTCTGTGCCTCCTCGGGTGAGCTCCTGCTCCGCTCCCACTCTCCTGGGCAAGGACCAGGCCAGGGAGCCCGGCTCTCCACTCAGGCTGCATGGCTGCCCCACCGCCGTCCTGACCTGCTCTGGGGCGTGTCTCCGGGGCACTGAGGGGACCTAACCCTCACGGGGGTGGGCGGACATGGGCGGCACCTGCCTGTGCTGTGAGCTGGGGGAGGGAGGCATGTGTGTGACAGGCGTGTTTGTGCGGGCTGCAGGTCTCTCAAGCGTGGTCTGAACTGGGAGGGCTCTGCAGCCTGCCAGCCCGGGCACACGGGAGTATCAGCGTGGGCCAGGCTGGCGAGGCGCCGGGTGGCCATGGGGCCCTGAGCCTGTGTGTGGCCTTGTAGGGATTCACGGGGAAGGGTCCACCTTCAGCACCCTGTGTGGCCTCCTGCTGTGGGACACCATCTTCATGGACGGGGTCCCCGACGTCTTCAGGAACGCCTACCAGGTAACCCAGACGGCCAGGGCCGCCCACGCCCACCCACAGCAGGGCGCCTGCTCCGTGGGAGGGCTCCTCTACCAAGCTGGGACAGAACCGAAGACGCAGGCATGCTGTTTCACAGTTTAAGTCCCAGTTACCTCCGCCGTGACGTCACTGTGCCCGGCTCCCAGGCCGGTCCCCCACTAAACCGTCTGGCACCGCGACTCACCGGGTCAGATCGTTCCCACCTTCCGAGGGAGTGGCCGCGTGTTGGCACTCCTGGCTTACGCGTGGATGGCTGGGGGCTGGCTCACAGTGAGTGAGCCTCGCCTTCCTGCCCGCAGGACTCCCCGCTGGACCTGCTCACAGACAGCTTCTTCACCAGCAGGAAGCAGGCCCTCGAGGCCAGGCTGCAGCTGATCTGTGAGGCCTCCACGCAGAGCCTGCAAGCCTGGGTGGCAGACACATGGCAGGCCCAGGAGGGCCGAGCAGCTGCACTCGTCAGCTGGGACCGCTTCGTGTCTCTACAGCAAGCTCAGGTGAGGGCTCACCCACACGGCAAGGTGCCACCCAGGGCTGGTGTCCTGGTGGCTGCTGTGCAAGGAACATGGTGGGGGCACACACGGGCATGTGGCAGTGCCATGTCGGCCCAGCCCAGCCACCAGTTCTCAATGCCAGTGTGTCGGGGCATTAAGAAAGCTCTGGTGAGACCCGTCCCACCCCCAGTTGACGGCTCTCCTGTGCTCGGTGGATGGCCCTGGCAGGTCTCTGCGAGCCTACGTGCCGTGCTGCCAGGCGCTCCTCTGGACCCTCTTCCAAGGGTGCAGCCCGAGGGTGCAGCAGTGGCCTGGGCCTCCCAGCAGAGTGGCCTCTGAGCACCCGGAATCCCACTTGCCTTCTCCCTGCCTCGGGACTGCGGCAGCCTCCGAGGGTCTGTCTCAGGTCTGACCGCCTGCCCTCTGATTCTAGGACCTTGTCTCCTGCCTGGGGGGCCCCATCCTTAGCGGTGTGTGCAGGCGGCTGGCTACTGACTTCCGGCACTGCCGGGGGGGCCTCCCCGACCTGGTGGTGTGGGACTCCCAGAGTCGTCGTGCGAAGGTCTGTCGAGACGGGATGGGGTCATCCTGGTGACTGTGTCAGGGTGCTCTTGTGTTTGGGGGTGGGTGTCAGCAGCAGCGGCTTCCTCGGGGCCACCAGGCTGAGGCCTGGGCTCCTATGGCAGCTCAGCACAGGGTGGGACGCAGGAGCACCTGCCAGCTTAGTCGTGGAGTGGCATGGCCACTTCTGCTATGCACACAGTGGGAGATGAGGCTCCAGGCAGTGTACATGGGAGATACGCTCCAGAGACAACGAGACCCCA